TCCTGCCAACCCAACGTGGAAACTGACCTGACTAGGGAAGACTATGAGATAGTTTTATAGTCTTGATTTTATCCACCGGGAGAAAAGGACTCAAGTGCAGCCAAGCATTGGAAAAATGGCAGGGTTTAAATATCAACATATGGATTTAAATACCAACAGGAGTCAGGCTCTTCAATTCTGACTTACATGGTTTGCAAATGTGGCTTGACCTTGATTCATGGAACCAATTTCTTGAATCTCACCAGTTGCTTCAGGAGACATTTTTACTACCATGTGGTTTGGATCCTCATTGTTCACTGGGTCTAAAAGCAAAGCGCTGTTTGAAGACTTTCCCAAACCTATACACTGACACGCTTCCACTGCTCGGAGAGTAAATTAGAAGGAGGGAAGGTGAGCAAAGGGCCTGGGGAGTTGTTTCTTTTTCCCTTTTGCGAGCCCTTCATTTACAAATGTGTCTGACGATGAGGAAAGAAACCTGATGAAGCAACAGGATTGTGGAGCATCTTGCATGCTTGGCAAAGGGAGCCTAAAATGACTTTGCCAGGGAAGGCTTCTCCCATTGGGCCTGCACTAGTTTCTTCCTGGAGTCTCTAACAACTGAACTGGTATTTAAGAAAGTTTTAATTGCACTGATACTTGTTTGGCTTAAGTACCAGGTATGAGCATAGAAGGCTCTAGATTCACAAGCAAAATGAGACCTAGCACTATGTACTGATTGTCTGCACAAACCCGAGTATTGTTGCTTTACCAGCTCCCAATTTATGCTCACACTACAGGCCAAGACCTGTGGTACATCTCCAGCGCAATCTCTTCCATACTGAAATGAATCTGAGGCACCAGGTCTTGCATATTTGAAACAAATATAAAAGGGACAGAGAAGCAACTTTAAAAAGCTATAAGACAAATGACTCACAGTATTAACAGAGGCTCTCGTAATCTATTACCTCCGTATTAAAATACCTATCATTGAAACGTAAATATTGGGAGTTATTCTCCCTTCAATTATTGGCAAGTTCTGGGCTTTCTTCATAAAATTCTCACACAACTCTCCTTCTGAGGTTGGAAACTTTTCAGAGAAATAACAGAGGGCCATTTGTATATACAAAGACACAGTTTCAAGGGTGAAGCTCTGGAAGGCTAGGTCTATTTGGTCTTCTTTTGAGTCAGCACATGACAAGAATCATTCACCAAAATGGAAAAGAAATGCCTTTAAGTTGTGCTTGTTCCAGCTGACTCTGTTTTGTGACACAGTCTTTGAGCAGAGTCTGTTCTACCACAATAAAGATGGCAGCCTAACTACGTTGTCTCCTTCGGGTAATTCAGCAGTCTGGGAATGAAGCCAGACTTCGAGAATGTTCTACACCAGTATTATTGACTCCAGTTGCTTTCTCTGTTCTCCGATTTGATAATCCAAACACAACTCATCGCTAGCCCTCCAGAGGGTTTTCAGAGGCTGTAAACGGCACGGGAGAAGGTTGTCTATCTTTCTCCCTCAGAGCTGAGGGTGGATTGGAAACACGAGAGGTGCCACCTCTGGATGAGCAGCACAGCTCCCTACAGACTATGTTCCCAGAGCTCCCCTGATGTGACGGGCATTGTCATGAAGGTATCACATCTGATCTTTAAAACAGTTCTGTACATTTCCTTCCCAGAAGCAGTCTTTCCTAGATTGACTGTCTTTCCTTTGGATTATTATACAAAAGCCTACTCAGATGAAGTTTCTGACTCAGTCCAGAGCTGCATTAGTCAAGACAGATGAGAAAGTGAGGAGATCATGAACCCTTTCTTTCCTTTCAAACGACATACATGTATTTAGCCTCCCCCTACCTCTCTAATTTTTGTAGTGGAGGGCAATGAGAAGGATGGGAATAAATATTTTGAATAGTAACTTCAATTCATATTTTAGTTTAGTGCTCTAGACTTGGTTTTGGATAGGAATAATGCAGTGGGTAGTTTTTCTTTTTTATAATCAAACCAGAAGATCTAGATCAATCCCTTTGCTCTGTGTTTATTTCCATGACAAACTTATGGTTGATGCTCAGACCTGGTATATAAAATTGCATGTACATAGACATGAAACTAGGGTTCATTTGTATTCAGGAATGATGTTTTCACCACACGGGCTGGAATGCAGTGGAACATCTTCAATAGAAAGATAATCTATTGCAGCATAATGGGGCAGCTATCAAAACTCGTCTGCCCAAGTTTTTCTGGAATGTTAACTGACAGCAGGATTATCTATGTGGCAGTCGTTTCTCTAGTAGGCTTCAGATTTGTCATGGGCTAGTGATCCAGCCTCATATCTTGACATCAGTTAGCAGCCGAGATGTTAAAAACATTGTACTAAAAACTGTCAAACCAGAGTTTAATCTTTTAAAAATGTGGGTTTTTCTCTCCCCATGACAAACATCAGAAATGCCTTTTAGATAGAGTTAGCTAATTTTAAAAGTATTTATTACACATCCAACCTATAAACAAAATCCTAGATCATTTCACAGGTGAACACACACACCAATACCAAGATGGAAATGCTCTGGAGCCATCATATTAAGGATTTAGTTAAGATTTCACTATTTCCCTATTCTCACCAGCATAAAAGGGTCAACACCACGCCATTGAATTAAATAATTAAATAAGTTCAGGCAGATGAACGTCTAACTGGTCCCTCATTTAAACTCTAGTTAGCTGTTATTTTTGTCTTTTCCTCATCTTAATTATTCTGCTCTAAGGGGTGGGGGGAGCTTATTGCACAGAATCTTGTATTTTCAAATCTCAAAATAACATTCTTGAATCCTAAGAACCTATTAGGTATTTCTCATCTTGGAACCACTCTTTTCTGTTTATGTCTGCTTTTAGTCTAATAAATAGTACATTCTGCTATCAATGGTCTCTTATCCATGAACCAACAACATCAACTCGTCACACTATCCACAATAATTAACACAGATGTGACAGCTCCCCGATAGCCACACAGGCCCCCAGGCCTACTGGCCATGATGTAGTTTGCATGGATTCTTTGTCCAAGCCATTTACACTTTATTATTTTCTTTAAAATTTCACACATAAACGAGATGCTGAAAAAGCCCTTGTCATCTCTGACAGAAACGCAGAGCAGCTCTGTTTCATGAATGACAGCACAATTAAAGCTAAAACAATATAAAAATAATTCTGAAAAATCCCTTTTACTGTACACGCTCAAATAAAGCAAGAAGACAAGTTTCTTTTTCCTGCTAGCCAGAAAATGTGTTTCTATTCATTTGGGCTTGGAGGTTCTGTTTAGCCCACATCATGTGTGCACATATGTGTGGCTATGTGTGTATAATCTATGCCGTTGAGTAGCCCCTAAACATTCATCTAGTTCGTCTAATCATTAAGCTACTTAACCAATTAGAATACTATAATAACACATTGAACAACTTTACATAATTGCTTCTTTAAAATACTAGGAACATTTTACACATTTATTTGGCTTGCAAAGGACTGAAATATTACAGAGAATATAATCTAGGTATTTTTTTGTTTCTGTTTATTAAGGAATATGGCTCTTAATAAATCGATTTTCTGCGTTTCAGAGCAGAAGTCCCCTTAAAAACAATTCTGAAGGTGACTTGAAGCAGAATGTCTTCTTATTTGGTAAAAAAAATTGATGAATATTTTCTTTTTTAAACTATGTTAAGTCCAAAGGGGGCCCTAAATTGTCAACTGTTTCAGCCAAACTCGTCATGAACTGTTTGTTGAAATATCTCCACTTGACCAGCAGAGGGCACTTTAAACATCTCTACATCGCTTGAGGAGCAAATGCAGAAGATGCAGAAACACAGTGTTCACGCATGTCAGGAAGAGCCCTGCAGATTTCTTTTGGAAATTCACAAAAATATAGAAAATATGGACTGTGCCACAGGGTTTCAATTGGAAGGCTATGTGTATGTGTGAAGTCAGGGAGTCACGTATTGACTTGAATGGAATCTCTGCCTCCCTTCTCTACCCCAGTGTTTACCTTTTCCACAGCTCAGGGACGGTAGCGTATCATCCCAGTCCTTTATTTTAGATGATACAGAACCAACTTTCAAACCAAGCACTTTTAATAGAATTTTTAATCTTTTCTCGTCTATATTTATTCTTCTTTCCAAAAGCTTGGGACAACAGGACAAAAGTATTACTTGATCCCTTACTTAAAAGTAGAAACTGGTTCAGCTGTCTAGAAGTGCTCCTGCGACCAAGTTGCACCCCAGGACTGGACGATAGTGTTTCTGAGCTCCCAAGACGAACCTTGGGATGCTGCCCTGTTTGCTTTGGGCAAACCCATTAACCTGAGACTCTGCATAAGGGAAAACAGCCAATTTCTTCACTGAGCATCTTTGTCTACATCCAAGCTAATACAATGAGATAAAGACAGCCTGTTTTGGATGTGGAGGAGGGAAGTTATGACTGCTAATCCTTCTTGCAAAGGTTTGACTTGTTTTGCAATAGCATTTCTGGTTCTAGATATACACCCTGTGCCTCCTGCATTTTTATTATCTTTTCTCTTGGCTCCAGTTTAGTGTTTAGAAAGAAGAGGAAGGATTGTGTGTGTGTGTGCTCGCACAGTTTAAGTAAAACACATTTATTCTTAGAGAAATATAACACTAAGTACATTTTTTTTTCCATATTGTGTTAATAACAACCTTTGTTTGCCTTCTGTTTCTCTCTCTCTGCCTCCGGCTCGCTTTAGTTCTCACTTGTCCTGGAGTTGACAGAGGGGAGGGGAGGGTCTCCCAGCAGCAGTCCTTTGAGATGGAGGTGAACTCAGCGAGTCCTCACCAGAAAAGGATCATAAACTTACTGGGTTGAGTCAACCTAATTATCCCTAAGCTGCCTTGGGTTTTGTGTTTGCTTGTATGTTTTGTTTTAGCTGCACCATATGTGATTCCTTGTGCCATTTTTCTTGTCTATTATTTTTTTTTGTTTTGTTTTGTTTTTCTTGATGACCCTGAGCTACGGCTTCCTCCTCAGTTCCAACACTATTCCGCCTTCTTTGTTTTCTTCATCTTGCCACCGATGTAGGCCTCAAAGAAGAAATGGCAGAAGAGCACAAAGTAGCTGAGGTACATGAGTGAGGACCAGAAGATGTTGTGAAAGTGAGAAGGGCACTGGTCTTTCTGCATCCAGGAGAAGACCAGGTAGTTAACGACACAGCCTATGACCATCTGAGTGATCTGGGACAAGGTGATGAACATGGCAAACTTCCGGGACACTCGGAACCCTGCTGCCCGCAAGGCATAGTAAGAGTACATCACGGCGTGCACGCCATAGTTCATAGTCATAAACCAACCACCCCCAGCAACCATGTCTTTGTA